CTTTTTTAGTGTGGTAGATCAAACCCCGAACCAGCTCCTGCTGGACAATCACCCTACCATAGAAATATACCCCTAGGATTTTTTTTTAAATTTTTATTTTAGAGTTTTGTTTTATTTTAATTGTTAAGTTGCCCAGATTGGCCTAGAATATGGATCTTCCTGCCTCAGTGTCTCATGTATGCATCTGGAATTAGTATGAGTCATTGAACTAGCCCAACACTTCAGCTACTCAGTCAATTAAAATACTTAAAATAATCTTCTGTTATACAAATTCAGTTAAGGAAAAACCTTCAAAATAGAGAAATATAATTCAAAAATTTTCTCATATGCACTTAACATGCATTCATTCACATATATAGTGCCTTTTAGTTCCTTATGAAGAATAAAACCAACTGAACTTCTCTATAAGGAATTTTCTATGGTCAGATTAATTAAAAGAACATTGCAAGATTATTTGTTGAGGTAGTATAAATCTCTATAAGATCTGTTAATTGTATCCACCAAGCATGATGATTATATTTAATAGTCCTTTGGAAAAATAGCAAGGTAGTAATGTAAAAAGTTACCCATTGATATTAGAATATGCATTTTCCATATCAGGAATTGAATTTGCTCTTTGGGAATAAAATGATAGTAACTTCAGATGTTTATGCTAAATAAAGATAGTTTTTACTAATTATTATTCATAAGATGTTTACAAATGTATCACAGAAAATTTTAAAAGATAGTAGGGTGATAACAGCAGTAATTATTGAATATTTTTTTTACAAATATTTTCTTCAGATATACACACACAAAGTAACATATGTGGGTGTAGAAGGGATAATCATGTGAACACTGCTTCAGATTTTAAACATGTGCACACTTTTTAAAGGATTTATTTTATTTTAAAAAGAAAATTAAAATATTTCAAAACACAACAAATAGAAGGAAATGATAGCATGTAAATTCTGTATTACTATCTTCAGTTCAGTTACTCAGAGTACTGGACACTTGCGTTTTCATTATCCAAACAGTACTAGCACAAACCTTTCTTTTTCAAGTTCTCAAGGGAATCAATAGTATAATTATCTTAATTATCTATTATGTACATAGTTTCTTTCAGCCTCTTACACTAGCGAGACAACACAGTGTTTACACATGAATGTCTGATATATTTCATTAATGAATATGGTCTCACATTGCATCCATTTATCTATAAAATCTCAAGCTTAGTCTTCTTTTTGACTGAGTAGTACTCTGTCATATAAAAATACTACAACATTTTTATCCATTCCTCAATTGATGGACATTTAGATTGTCTCCAAGATCTAGCTATTTTACAAATTGTGCGGCTATAAACATATACTGCTGTGTTAAGATGTTTTAAATTCTCCTGGGAAGATACCCAGAAGTGGAATACCTGGGTCTAATGGAACTTCTAATCCTAGTTTTTTGAAGAATCTCCACATTGATTTCCAGACTGGTTTCACCAGTCTACACTCCCACCAACAATTCAGAAGAATTCCTTTTTCTCCACAGCCCCTCCAGCATTTGTTATTGGTTGATTTCTCAATATTTTTAAATTTGCATCTCTAATGACCCGTAGTGTTAAACATTTTTTCATATATTTATTTTCAGTTTGTATCCTTCATTTGAGAAGCATATATTTGTCTCAGCTGCCCATTTTTGGGTTGGATCTTTACATTTGGGAGGACAGATTTTCAAGAGTTCTTTGTGTATTCTTGATAGTAGTCTTGTCTGAGGAACAGTTAGCAAGCATTTTCTACCACAATATGATTGTTGCTTCACTCTATTGGTGGTTTCTTTTGCTGTGCAAATGTTTTTAAATAAGATAAGATTCTAGTTTTTGATTCTTTGTGACATTCCTGTGCAATCAGGGATTTATTCATAAAGTCTTTGCCTACAGCACTGTCTTCAAGAATTTTACCTATCCTATCTTCTACTAGATTTATTTTTCTGTTTTAATATTTAGATTTTGGATCAACTATGAATTTAGTTTTTTGCACAGTGAAAGATATGTGTCCAACTTTAATGTTTGGCATGTGCAGAGCCAGTTTTCCCAGCACTATTTACTAAAGAGGATATCTTTCTTCAACTAAATGTGTGTAGCACCTTTGTCAAAGATAAGATGGCTTAGTGTATCTAGAGTTGGTTCTGCATCTTTTCATCTATTCCATTAGTCTTTGGACTTGTTTTTGTTTTCAAGTGTCATGTTGTTTTTATCAAAGTGGATTTACAGTATAATTTCAAGTTATGGATTGTAACACCTCCTGTCTTGCCTTTTTGCCCAGTATTGCCTTTAGTATTCTAGGATTCTTCTGGTTACTGATAAAATTTAGATTTTCTCCAATTCTGTGAGATACATGATTGGAATTTTAATTGGGGTTGCACTGAATCTGTATAATAGTTTTGGAAGTGTGGCCATTTTCATTATATTTGTTCTTACCCAAGAACACAGGATACCTACATTTTCTAATATGATCTTCAATATCCGTTTTCAGACTACTGTAGTTTTCAACATCATGGTCTTTTTACAACTTTTGTTAAATTGATATTAGGTACAGTGTTTCCCTGATTCCTCTCTCAGTAAGTTTGTAATTTGTGTACAAGAAGACTTTTGTTTTTTTGAATATTGATTTCATATCCAGCTATGCTACTGAATTTGCTTTTTAAATCTACCAGTTTTTTCTTTTAGACTTTTTGGGTTCTTCTATGTAAAGTATCTCATCATTTGAAAGTCACCATACTTTAACTTCCTCCTTGCCTATATTAATTCCTTTTCTTTCTTTATCTTGTCTAATTGCACTGACTGAAGTTTCAAAGACTACATTGAATAAGAGTGGAGACAGTGGACTTCTTTGCCTTGTTCTGATTTTAGAGTGAAAGCTTTCAATTTTTGTCCATTTAGTATGATGGTGATTGTTGGTTTGTCATAGATAGTATCTATCAGATTAAGATAAAGACAATGTATTCTAATTTTCTGTAGATTTTTATGATGAATGGGTGCTGGAATTTGTCAAAAGCTTTTTCTGCATCTATTGAAATGATCATATGATTTTTTTATTAAAAAATTTTAAAAAAAGAAGATTAACCTAAAAGAGGACATAACAACACAGGTCAGAACAGAACAGTTTAAGCAACATAGTTTCACCACAAGATAACCTGACATAATAGTAGTTACCATAGTGTCTCTTTCCTTGAAATATTTGAGCATAACTTCATATACTATAGCATCAAACATAACATGACAGTGTAAAAACATTCAAGAGAATGAAAATATTACAGGGTATTTAGAACCAACTAACAGAAAATGCACAATCGATTCTATATTATCTCATTTTCTATAAAAAATTTGTTTATACTATCACATATAATGAAATCTAATAGGATGCAACATGATAAACCGATGGAGACAGAAGAACAAAAGCTTGATGGGACTTCAAACAGGATGATATTAAATCAGCACTAGCTAATATATTCCCTTATTTTTTTCAAAATAATTGCTCATACCATCACAGATAATAAAATCAAACAACCCAGAATAAAACCATTCCAGTTAATGAATGAAAACATTATAAGCCTTCAAAGCAATATAATGGGCAATCATGATTACCATATAGTTTTATGTATTCTTAACATTTCTTACACTAGGGAAACTATTTGGTATTTATACATACGAGTTTGATTTATTTTGCTTATGAGTATGGTCTCAAGCTGCACCCATTTATTTACAAAAATCTCAATGTGATCCTTCTTAATAGCTGAGTAGTACTCCACATATAAAAATACTATACCTTTTTATCCATTCCTCAGTTCATGGACACTTAGATTGTTTCCAAGATCTGGCTATTACAAATTGTACAGCTATAAATGTGGGTGCACATATATCACTGTGCTATAATGTTTTCAGTTCTTCTGGGAATATGCCTAGAAGTGGAATAGCTGGAACAAATGGCACTTCCAACCCCAGCTTTTTGAGAAATCTCCAGACTGACCTTCACAATGGTTGCACCAGTCTACACTCCCACCAACAGTGCAGGAGTGTTCCTTTTTCTCCACAGCCTCTCCAACGTTTGTTGTTGATAGTTTTCTTGATCCTGACATTGTTTCAGGAGTAAGATAGAATCTTACTGTGATTTTAATTTGCATTTCTCTAATGACTAATGATGACCAACATTCTTTCATGTATTTATTAGTCATTTGTATTTCTTCATCTGAGAATTGTGTATTCATTTCAAATGCCCATTTTTGGATTAGATCTTAGAATTTTGGGGGTCTGATTTTTTTTTGTCTTTTTCCTTTTTATTGGTACCAGGGATCGAACTCACGACTGCCTGCTTGAAAGGCAGGCGCTTATGCCGCTGAGCTAAATCCCCAGCCCGGTCTGATTATTTTTAATTCTTTGTTTTAGACAGAAGTTCTTTGTCTGAGAGACAGTTCACTAAGATTTTTTCCCATTTTGTGGATTTTCTTTTCACTATGCTGGAGATTTCTTTTGAAGTGCACAAACTTTTTAGTATGAGATGATCCCAGTTGTTGATTCTGGGAAGTATTTCTCATGTGGTTTGAGTCCTGTTCATGAATTCTCTACCAACTCCTATGTCTTCAAGGTTTTTACACAATTTGTCTTTCAATAGATTTAGTGTTTCTGTTTTAATAATCAGATCTTTGATCCATTTAGATTTTAATTTAGTACATGGTGATAGACATGGGTCTAGTTTTAATTTTTGGTATATGGAGAGCCAGTTTTTCCAACATTTATTAAAGAGACTATCGTTCTTCCAGTGAACATGTTTGATCCCTTTATCAAAGATAAGGTGGTTAAGTGTGTTTGTAGGTGTGGTTGTATCCTTTGATCTATTCCATTGATCTTTGACTCTGTTTTATTCCAGTACCATGTTGATTTTACTACAGTTGCTTTGTAGTATAACTTCAAGTCAGGGATTGTGATGCCTCCTGTCTTGTCTTGCTGCTTAGAACTGTCTTTGCTATTCTAGGTCTCTTCTGGTTCCAGATGAAATCGAGGAGTTATTTCTCTACATCTATGAGGTATGTTAATGGTATTTTTATTAGGATTACATTGAATCTGTATAACATTTTTGGGAGAATGGCTATTTTCACAGTATTTATTATTCCTATCCCTGAGCAAGGGATGTCTTTCCATCTTCTTCAATTTCTTTTTTCAGAGTATTAGTTCTTTCACTTCTTTCATGAGAATAATTCCTAAATATTTCAGTGTTTTGGTTTTTAGTGTGAAGGGGATGGCTTCTCCTATTTCCTTCGCTGTGATTTTGTTGTCTGTATATAGAAATGCTATTGATTTTTGATCATTGGTTTTGTATCCAGCTACACTGCTGAATTTATTTATTATATCTAGGAGTCTTTCAATGGAGTTTTGGGGGTCTTCTTGTAGGGTGTCATGTCATCTGCAAATAATGATAATTTAACTTCTTCTTTTCCTATCTTTACCACTTTTATTTCTCTCTCTTGTCTAATTGCTCTGGCTAGTATTTCCAGGACTATATTAAATAGGAGTGGTGACAAGAGACATCCTTGTCTTGTACCTGATTTTAAGATAAAGGCCTTTGGTTTTTGGCCATTTAGTATGATACTGGCTCTTGGTTTGTCATAGATGGCCTTTATTATATTGAGGTAAAGACCATCTATTCCGATACTGAGGTTTTAAAGACCATCTATTCTGATTTATGATAAGAACCTTATCACAAATGAACGTTGGAACTTATCAAAAGCTTTTTCTGCATGTATAGAAATGATCATGTGATTCTTACTTTAGCTTTATTTATATGGTGGATTACAATGATTGTATTGAACCATCCCTGCATGTCTGTGATCAATCCTACTTGGTCATGGTGTATAATCTTCTTGATGATTTGCTGCATTCTATTTGACAATATTTTATTGAGGATTTTTGCATCTGTGTTCATTAGGGAGATTGGTCTATAGTTTTCTTTTATAGTGGGTCTTTCTCAGGTTTTGGTACTAGAGTAATATTTGCTTCCAGGAATTACTTATGAAGGACTGCTTCCTTTTCAATTTCATTGAAGAGTTTGAGGAGTGTCGGCTTTAAGTCATCTTCGTGTTTCTTGTACATTTCCACAATGAATCCATCTGGGTCTGGGCTCTTCTTTGTAGGTAAGGACTTAATTACATTTTCAGTTTCATTAATAGAAATTGGGTTATTCAGCAGCTTTAAATCTTCTTGACCTAACTTTGGTACTTCTTATTTTTCTAGGAATCTGTCTATTTCTTCTATGTTATCAAACCTACAAGACTAGAGGTTTTCAAAATAGGTGTTGATGATCATCTGTATTTCTACAGAATCTGTAATGATTTTGCCTTTTTTCATTCCTTAGTGCATGAATTTGAGCTTTTTCTTCCCTTTTTAAAAATAAGGTTGGCTAGGGGCTTATCAATTTTATTTATTTTTTCAAAGAACCATCTCCTTGATTCATTGATTCTTTGAATTGTTTTCTTAGTCTCTATTGCATTAATTTCTGCTCTGATTTTTATAATTTCCTCCCTTCTTTTGGCTTAGGGCTTGACTTGCTCTTCTTTTTCTAGATGTTGGAGGTGTAGCATCGTGTTTTTTATTTGTATTCATTCTTTTTTCCTTATGTTGGAACTCAGTGCAATAAATTTTCCTCTGAGGACAGCTTTCATTGCATTCTACAGATTCTGGTAAGTTGTGTTTGTATTTTCGATTGCTTGTAGGTATTACTTAATTTCTTCTTTAATTTCCCCTATGACCTACTGACTGCTCAAGAGGGTGTTATTCAGTTTCCATGTGTTTGTGGTTTTTTTTTTTCAGTATCTTTTATCATTAATGTCTAATTTCATGGTGCTATCATCTGATAACATGCATGGGATAATTTCAACTCTTTTGCATTTATTTAAATATGTTCTGTGGGCTAATATATAGCATATTTTAGAGAATGTCCCAGGTACTGCTGAGAAGAATGTGTATTCTCATGTTGTTGGATGGAGCTCTCTGTATATATCTATCAAATCCATTTGTTCATGTGTGTGTTTCAGTTCTGTTATTTCTTTGCTGATTTTCTGTCTCGTTGATCTATCCCTTGTTGTAAATGGTATGTTAAGTTCTCTTGTTATAATTGTGTTACTGCTAATTTGGTTTTTCATTTCTGTTAATACTTGCTTCATATAACTGGGTGCTCTGGAATTTGATGAATATGTATTTACCATTGTTATCTCTTCCTCTTGAAGTTTTCGCCTAACCAGTATGTAATGACCTTCTTTATCTCTTCTGATAATTATTGGTTTGAAGTTCACATTGTCTGCAAACAGAAATGCTACCCCCACTTTTTTGGGGGCGGTTCCTGTTGCATGAAGTATTGTTTTTCATCTTTTGACTTTCAGTCTGTGAGTATCCTTTTGGGTGAGATGGGTTTCTTTTAGACAGCATATGATCCATTCTGCCAGTCTGTTTCTTTTAATTGGTACATTGAGACAATTTACATTAATGGTCATAATGTTATATGTTGTTATGTGTTTGTTCATTATTGACATGTTATCTTTCTGTTATTGAATCTTTATCTTTCCGTTCTATTTAAATGTCTGCTTTGATTAGTGGTTTTTTCCCTAAGTGTATCTAAACTGTCTTTCATTATTCTTTGCAGGATTGGCTTGGTGATCATGAAGTTTTTCAGCTGTTCTTTGCCATGGAAGTATCTTCTTTTTCCATCAATTTTGAAGGACTGTTTTTCAGGATACATCAGTCTAGGTTGGAAAACATTTTCCTTGAGGATCTGAAATACTTCACTCCTTGCTGTTCTTGTTTTTATTGTTTGTGCTGAGAAGTTTGCTGTGATTCTGATAGGTTTTACTTTATAGGTGATCTATCTTTTCTCTCTGACAGTTTTTAATATTCTATTCTTATGTTGGATTTCTGATGGTGATTATTATATGTCTGGGTGTAGTTTTATTTTGGTTATGTCTATTTGGAGTTTTATATGCTTCACTGATCCTGATATCGTTTTCCATTCTCATGTTTGGGAAAATTTCAGCTATTACTTCTCTAAATATCTTCTGTACATCCTTTATGTTGTCCCATTTTTTTTTTTCATTTATCCCTATCCATCGTATGTTTTTTTTTTTTGCATCATCTTGCAGCTGTTGAATTGTTATTCCCTGATTCCTTGTTATTTTTAAAAGATCTTTCCTTTCCTGCTCACTAGCTGCAATCTTGTCTTAGAGGTCTGAAATTCTGTCTTCACTTTCATTGAGGTGGTTTTTACAGCTTTCAATGGAATTTTTGACTTCCTGTATATCTCTTTGCATCTGCTTTATGTATTCTGTTTATTTCTTATATTTTTCATCCAGGGATTCTACCTTTTTGTTTAGTTCCTCCAATTTTTTTACTTTGTCTTTTTAGATATGTTCAGCATCTCTTTCATTTCTTTTATCATTTCTTCCTTTACCTGGGAGATTAATTTCTAGTTTGAATTCTATTAAAGCTTCCTGGAGTTGCTTCTTTATTTCAATTGCTATTATTTCAGGTATTTCAGTTGTATGGCATATATTTTCTTCTGCATTCATGGCTCCTAAGGTTTCTTGGGATGGGCTGGAGGTTTGAGCTTGCATTTTGGTCTTTGGCTTTGTCATTTGCCTATATTTCTATGTTTCAAGTGTTGTTCCAAGGCTTCCCCTGGATGTGTTGGAAATCATCTCGCGTGGTCTAGGCTCCTGGGACTGAATGGAGGTTGCTGAGCCTGTTCCAGTTAGGCCCTCAGGCCCTCCTTTGCCACCTTCAGTGTTCCAGGTAGCTGGGCAGGGACCTAACCACTCTGGATAATGTGCTAAAGTCTCCCCATGTGAAGACCAATGCCCTGGAACTCACTTCACCTACTCTCAAGTTCCGTAATTGAAGAAGGTCACTGGGCGTAATATAGCTGGTCCACAAAACTTCCCAAGGCTAGTCTAGTGTGCCTGGGCTCTGGACAAGCCCTTGAGTTCTGGAAGTGATGATCTTAAAGTCTCCCAGGTCTCAGGGTGGTGAACGGACTTACCCCAGCCAGCAGCTGCATTTCCCGGTTTGGGAGAAGGTCACTGGGCATGTTCTGGGCAAACCTGAAACATGCCAAACACAGCCTAGTGTGGCTAGGCTCTGGGCAGGTCCTTGAGCTCTGGAAGAGATTATCTTAAAGTCTCCTGGGGTTTAGGGTTGTGTGCAGACTCACTCCAACCTCTAGCTAAGATTCCCGGTTTAGGAGAGAATGTCCAATCATACGATTTTTTACCTTGGTGTGTCAATATAATGTATTACATTTGTTGATTTATGTATATTGAAATATTCCTGCATTCCTGGGATGAATCCCACTTGATCATGGTATATAATATTCTTGATGATTTGCTGTATTCTGTTTGCCAGTATCTTATTGAGGATTTTTTGCATCTATGTTCATTAGGGAGACTGGCTTGTAATCCTATTTTTTGGTTGGGTCCTTTCCTGGTTTTGGTTTCAGGGTAATGCTAGCTTCCAAGAATGAAGTTGGGAGTATTACTTCCCTTTCAGTTTCACTAAAGAGTTTGAGAGGTAGTGATGTTAGGTTTTCTCTAAATTTCTTATAGAATTCAGCAGTAAATTCATTGGTGCCCAGGCTTCACTTTGTTGACCGATTTTTAATTACAACGTCAATTTCATTGATTGTATTGGTTTATTTACAATATTTATAGTTTCTTGATTCAGCTTTGGTATTTCGTATGTATCTAGGAAGTTGTCCACATCATCTGTATTTTCCTTCTCATTATAATAGATATTTTCAAAGTAAATATAGATGATATACTGCATTTTTGTAGAGTCCATTTTTATTTTATCACTTTTACTTCTAATTGAATATATTTGAGTTCTTTCTTTTTTGATAAGGTTAACTAAAGGTTTGTTTATTTTATATCATCTTTTAAAGGACTCTTTAATTCATTGTTTCTTTGTATTGTTTTTCTAGTCTCCAATGCATTAAGATCTGCTCTGATCTTTATAATTTTCTTCCTCATATTAAGATGTTGACTTAGCCTACTCTTTATAGAAGTTTGAGGTTCATTATTAAGTTGTTTATATGTTCTTGCTCTGTTTTCCTTGTATAGATATTTATTGTTAAAAATTTTCCTATTACTACTGCTTTCATTGTGTACCATAGGATATATATGTTGTATTGCCATTATCATTTATTTGTAAAAACTGTATAATTTCTTGTTTAATTTAATTTGTGATCCATTGGTTTTTTGAGATGGTGCTGTTTAATTTGCATGTGTTTATCAAGCGCTAGTAGTTTGTTTGCTGTGGATTTCCAATGTACTGTGGTCTGACAGTAAGCATGGAATAATTTCCATCCCTTTGCATTTACTTAAGCATGTTCTATGAGCCAGAATGTGGTCTATTTTGGGGAGCATCCCACATGCAGCTGAGAGAATGTGTATTCTAAGTCCATTTGTTCAAATTTTAATTCAGTTCGAATACTTCATCACTGGCTTTTGTCTAACTGATCTGTCATTTTGTGACAGTGGGGTATTGAGATCTCCCAATACAATTGCACTAGGGTTTTTTTACTTTTCACATCTATTACTATTTGTTTTATATAGTTGCATTCACTGGTATTTGTTTCATATTTATTTATGGTTGTTATCTTTTCCTCATGGGTTATCCCCTTTACAAGGATGTAGTGATCTTTATATCTCTTAATCAGTCTTGACTTAAAATTCACTTTGTCTGCAAATAGAAGAACTAGCCCTGTTTGGGAGGGAGGTTCCCATCACTTAGGATATTGTTTTCCATCCTTTGACTCTTAGTTTATGTATTGCTTTTTGAATTAAATGTGTTTCTTCTATCTAGGATACTGTTGAATCTTGCTTCCTGATGCATTCTGCTGGTCTATCTATTGATTAGTGAATTGAGACCATTAATATTGATGTTTATAATTGATATGTATGATGGTATAATTGATATGATATATTCTTGTCAGAACTTTTCCTGTTTTTGGCTCCCCACTCCTCTTTTTTTTTTTTTTTTTTTCTTTTTCCTCTAATTGTTTATCTTGCCTGGCAGATTTCTTCTGTTAGGGTTCAGGGACCTGTAGTCCTCGTTATCTCTTTCTAGAATGTCCTTCAGAATATTTTGGAGAGCTGGTTTGGTGGTTATAAATTTCTTCACTTGTTCTTTGTCATAGAATTATCTTATTTGTCCATCCATTTTGAAGGATAGCTTTGTGGGGTACATCAATCTGGATTAAAAGCTGTTTTCACTTAGAGCCTGAAATACCTTGCTCCACACTCTCCTTGACTTGAGAGATTGTGCTGAGAAGTCAGCTGTGATTCTGTTGGACTGTCCTTTATAGATGACTTGTTTCTTTTCCTAACGAATTTTTGATTCTATTCTTGTGCTGAATTTCTGGACTCTTGGCTATGATATGCCTGTATATAGATTTATTTTGGTGATGCTAATTGGAGTTCTATATGCATTACTTATCTGTATGCCAAACTCTTTTTTTTTTTTTTAACCAGGGAAGTTTTCTGCCATGATGTTTGTGAACATTTTCTTTATGCTACTTGTGATATCTCCTGCTCTTTAATTGATTCTAGACAATTTTAAGTTATTCTTCTTTGTCTCATCTAGCAGCTGTTTGATTTCTCATGGTCCCTAGCTATTTTTAAGAAATCGTTTCTTTTCCTGCTCACACTCTGCAAGCCTGTTTTCAATGTCTGAGATTCTGTTCTCCCATTGGCCTAATCTACTGTGAATACTATCAAAGAAATTTTTATTCTCCTGGATATCTGCTTGAATCTGATTTATGGATTTTATTTTTTTCCTATATTGAGCTTCCATAATTTTCTTAAGCTCATTTATTGTTTTGCTTGTATCTACTCTAGTATCACTAAGCATGGTCTTTATTTGGGATATCATCTCTGGAGTTTTCTGAGAGATTATTTCTGATTTTATTTTTTTCTAGAGATTCATTCAATTGCTTTATTGTTACTGCTTTAGAGATACCTGGTGGGAGGCTGCTTGATAGTCTCACTTCATTGTTCTCTGAATTTGCCTTTGCCAAAATAGATGTCTAGGATTGCATTTTGTTGAAGTGTCTTCTCAGTTTCTTTTCATTTCTTTTCTGTGTTGTTCTTTTTTTTTTTTTTAAGTTTAATTCTTTGGGTGATACCTGTAAATTGCCTATGGTGGATTGCTTTGTTGTTAGTATTTAAGCCCTTACATGATGACTGCTTCTCTGAGATATATTCCAGGTGTAACTGGTTGTGGAGTTCTGAGTTGGTTAGAAGATCTTACCTCTTTAGTTTGTTGGAGATGAGAAGTTGTTGTTTGTCTGGACTATTACCTGGTTCATTGACACTGTGTCACTGTATTTTGTGTGACTCTTAATCAATCTCAGTCATGGAATACCAGGACCAACAGCTGTTTAGAACAATGATGTCAATTTTGGCTATCGTGGTAGCAATAGCATCAACCACAGCCTAGAAAATGAAAGACTGAGCTAACCCTTAATTTGCCACTTTTAACTGTATAAACCAGATTGGCAGTTATGTAACAAAATCTCAACCAAACCAGAAAATTCTATGCAGTGTACAATGATATGTCAATTGATTTGTCAATTTAGACCTTGATGATTAAGATTTAATATAGTTTAAGGAGAAAATAGGGAACTGGAAGAAGAGGAAGAGTTTAGAAGTAAGATTGGAGGACCAAAGATGTAACAGTGAACTTTGGGACACTAGTGTGGAAGACTGGAAGAAAAGAGCAAAGGAAGAGATAAAAATAATAGAAGAGAGCCACAAGGAATCTAGGAACCGTGTTTCCACTTATATAAAAACAAGATCAAATAATGAAGGAGAAACAAAGAAAGCAAGCATTAAAAATCAAAGACAAACATGAGAGAAAGTAGGGAGAAGACAGAAACCAAAACCAAACCAAACAATTCTACTTTCAGGTTTTTCTCTGCTTTCAATAGCAGACAACCTGAAGAGACAGAGTCCTGATCCACTGAATCTATCCTAGTAAGTCAGCAGTAGCTTTCCGGTGTGCAGAGAGTTCACTCAGGAAGCCTTCCCTTTTTAGTGGAGACCAGTCAGTCATATTTGGTTCGCTGTCTTCTGAGTAACTTCTGCAGGAGCCAGGTGTAATTCTAAGTTCTGTTCTCAGACTGCTTACCTCCAAGATGGCTCCAGACCAGTTGTTTTCTCCTGCAGCAAGAGCAAGAACCTTGCACTCACCACCAGTTAGTACAGTCCTCCACATCTGCTGTTCCCCTCCATACCCACTGCCCCCATCCACTGTCGCATCTCTCCACAGAAGCCACCTGAATTACCAGCCATCACCATTGCTGTGGCTGTGTGTCCATAGCTTTGAACCACTCCTCTTGCACAGTGAGTCCTGTCTAAGCGAGAGGGCACCACTGGTTACCTCCTTCTTGAAGTTTCTCTCTTCACACTCCCCCGTGGCTTCAATTTGTTTTTCAGATTGTTTCAGGGGCCAGGGCACCCAATTTCCTCCTCACTGTCTTCCTCACATTGCTATATTACAGCACCTGGACAGTGACTCTTAGAGAGGCACTTTCTCTGCTACTTACCATTCTGCCATCTTGCCAGACTCCTAACAATTTTCTTTCATATACACCTATCACGGTTTTTCATTGAATACAAACAGAAACAAAATTCTTATTGATTAGAAAAAAATGAGTGAAAGTCTGAAAGATTACATTTCACAAAAGTATTTTGATGTATGTTTTTATGGGAATAACTTTGTTTTGTACTCATAAGAAAATAATTTCCATTTTGATTAATTTATGTAGTGCCACTTTGAATTCAATTGACTTAATTTTCCATGGGGTCTCAACCTCTTTATATTAGCAGCATGCTGACATGATTTTGTACCTGTAATTAGCTCTGTTCAATTATATGAACTTGTTATTGGAAAAGGCTGTCATCCAATGTTGTAATTAAGTCTTCTAAATATAAGAGATAAGAAGTCAGTTGATTTTGATAGTGTTGACATATAATATAATACTTTGGAAGTAAAAATAGATGGACACAGATATTTCAAACCCATGGAAGCACTTATTTGACAATAAAATAAGCAGACCAGTTTAGTATAATTTCATTATTTCTAAACATTGTGTCTCACTTGCACCAAAGATACTTGTCTTTAAATTTTTGAAAAATACTGGCCTTTTAGTGTACACTAAAATTATTTTTCACATTCAAATAGCATCAACTTATATAAATGATTTTAATATAATGTACCCTTCCTTCATGCTGTTTGCTTATATTAACATAATTTTTCAATCTTTTTTCCATGACTAATGTATTCTATTTTGAAAGCTTGTTCTTTTTTAGTGCTAATATTAATGAAGACATTATAACTGTCTTTGTAGCTGCTGTTTCAGTGGAAAAGATTTAATTTCCCCCAAATTATTTTATATATATATGGTTTGTGTCTGAGTGTTCCCCTAAAACCTCACCTCATGCAGTCATGGAAGGGGTTGAATCTAGAGATTGTGATAGTTTTATTTTCTAGTACTGGAATTATGAATGTCAGGGCTACACCTATCCCAGAGTAGGTAGCCCACATACAATATAAGGAACACAACCAGTCTTCTCTTGAACTCCTTCTCTTCTTCTTTTGATGTTTTCTATTGCCAGGAAACATTGTTCCTCTGCCACATCACTCTGCCTTGGAGCCAACTAAGTATGGTCTGAAATCTTCACAAACTGTGAGCTAAATAAACTTTTCTCCTTTGTATTTTGTTGTTGGGTATTTTGTCCTAGCAAAGAGAAAAAAATTAACCAACCCCATATATATATATATATGCAAGTAAAATATATTAAAATGATAAGTGATGACACATATTAACACATGTATGTAAGAGATGAATGCATACAAATACATAACTATTTAAATAAATGAACTTGGTAAAATGCATGTGCTTTTAGAAGATGATGTATTTAGAATTTTTCTATACATTCAGTTGTTTCAAATGAAAATTCAATTCTTAGATTTCAAAAAACAGTTTTTATTAAATGTCATAGAAGTTAGCACTATTAAATCTTTTTAAATTCTTTTCTTGTAAAATACATCTTATAAATTTGAAAAATTAATAGAAATGTAATTATATTACTAAATAGAAAGGTGTCATATATTTTACTTATTGTGCAGAATAATAAGTATTTTTCACAGACATAGTAGCAGTAATTTCTGTTTTACTTGCAAGAGAAAATCAATCAAAAAAATCAATGCAGCTTTTCTAGAAAATTAACATGTGGAAGCATAGAGTTTTATTGATAATTATTCAATGTTAGTTAATAGTTATTTTGCAGAACTTCATATTTAATGTCCTTAGCTCAGTGTCAGAGCATTTATATATGCATAGTATTTACATATTTTATCTCATTCAATTCCTAAAGCATTTTTAGACATATCATATGAGAATGGGTTATTTAGTGATTTTCCTAACTTCTAAGGTTTACATGAGTGAATTTAGATTTTAAAATTTAACAAGGGTTTGAAACTACAAATGCAATTTTAAACTCAAAAATTCAAGGTTAAGTATGTATTTCACCACTGTAGTTTTTGCCTTTACATATTTTTAACTTTTTTATAGGTGAGATAGTAGAAAATAAGTGATTTATTAAATAATCAGATGGCTACTTATAACAAGAGTGACATTTAAACTTCTATAGTCTTTGAAGCACAAACATTCCTGAAAGGTGGACTCTTTTTAGAAAGAAGGAATATGGTCCCAAGGATGCATACATTCCAAATCAGACAATTAAATATTTGTATTCCTGGGTTAAAATTTAAGAAATTGTGATTAAAACAAAATAAATTAACAATTGTATTCTAATCCCTAAATTCATATTTCGTAGTGTTCAATGTGCAAGCTCTTGAAAGGTTTACAAAAGAAATGTGAAACAAACGAAATTTTAAAGTCAGGTACATTTCAATGTAAACTGTAGGTAACTGTGTATCAGTAACTTGACTGTTAATCACAGGCAATGTTAGCAATAACTATAATTATTAAATACATTGGGACTCTAGATGAGTAATTTTTATTTACTCTTTGACGATTATTTATAAGTCTAGGTCCATTTCACTTTAATATTCAAACTCTACCTTAGTGCCCAGGGAACACTGCTCTACTAATTTGTAGTTCTTTAGATGAAACAGACTCCAAGAAATAATCCAGCTGTTACCTTAAATTTGTGATAAATAAATATTCAATATTGAAGTAATATATACTTGTATATAAAGACAGGCAAGAAAGACTTTAAGTGCCAATCCACTATTAAGGAAAAGCTAATTTGCATAAGTTATTTACTTATATTTCAGATTTTATTTATTTACTTATTTATTTATTTGTCTTTTTCGTTTTTATCGGTACCAGGGATTGAACTCACAACTGCCTGCTTGCAAGGCAGGCGCTTATGCTGCTGAGCTAAATCCCCAGCCCCAGATTTCATTTATTTATAATAATATTACATTTTTGTTATTTGGTTGAAGTCACATACTTTTAAGAAAACAATGTTTAAGTGCACAGTGGTATGCAAATTACTGAAATATGATCCTATGATTTTAAAAAAGTGCTAGTTGGCTATTTCTCAGGGGTGCCTTTCCTAAAACATAGCATCCAAATTGACTTCTATATGGCAAGAAGAACAAATTTTACATATGAAGATCAGAAGACAGGTGTTCCAGAAGCAGGAAGGGTGAGAGCCAAGATGCTAACATGTGTGTTTGTGACTTCAGGACTAGTAAGTCTTGAAGACATGAACAAGTAGTTTGAAATCAGATAAAGTTTGAGTAGCAAACCACATCATTAACACCATGCAAAAGTGATTGATTGCTGCTTTTCAATGGGATTGGTATGCAGTATTAGCCTGGGTGATTGTATGATCAGATATACGATGTTTAATAACAGTAGCCTGAATCACAGACAGTGGGGGTTTAACAAGAAGAATTGGAGATGATTGCATCAGTGCTGAAGAGGTGTGATATAGAGAGCCCTTTCTATCCTGATCCTAGTCCAGGAATTTTTTATATTTGTAATTTCACAGAGGAGTTATTGGGATTCTAGTGATTTAATTCCAATCTACCACACCAGTTGTGGAGATCCAAGGGGTCCTAAGTCCAGCCAAGACTGATTCACCAGAACAAAGGCCCTGCCCAGACCCCTTCCCAGGTTTTATTAATTTTCTATGAGGGGAATGGCCCAGGGCTGAGTGACAGTGAGAGCATTAGGAAATATGTGACTTCCATGACTGCCATGAGCTGGACTAGGTCAGAAATCTGAGATCACCTTTATGATAAACAGTGGGCAAGAAATGCATAAAGGTCAATCTGCATAACAACTGAGGGAGTATCTAATAATTAGGGGTTTGTGCTTCAGTTCTGATGTACTATCCTTTTTGTCCTGGGAAGCCATAGCCTCTTTTTCAAGCCAGTTCCAGCCAACAGCATGGAGCATGGCTCTCCATCCCACCTGGCTCAACCATTTGGGGTTATTTGGGGCATCACTGGGGGGGGGGGATGTAACACTGACCTGTTACTTTGCTTTAGAGATCAGTTCCCCAGCCAGCCCAGTTTACATTACTTAAAGTCAGCTGAAGAGACAAAGAGATAACCTAGCTAGCTCTGTACGTATCAGTACATGGAGATAGGTCCAAGTTCATCCAAAATGGAGATAGTTACTCTTCTTTTCAAGTAACATCAAGGAGAGTTATCTGGTGGTTCCCAACAGTATGATCTGGATGAGATTTTTTAAAGAATGCAACAATCTAGTCTTTTGAAATATGAAATGTGATAAAAATATGGTGAATATTTACACTTAAAGTTTTTATTATAGTAAAACACATATTGCCATTAATTCTCACCAAAATACTGCCTTTCCTTCAACCATACCTGTCCTATTTTTATCTTTACTCTGTAACGGTGTTCTGGAAATCCTCTTTCATGAGTTTTTAGAAGATATAGAAAATGGTGAATGCCAGTGCCAATGCTATTCAAGGAAAACACAAGCTCCTAAAATATTAGACATATCCTCATATACCTTATTCATTGGATCTCTCATTGTGCCTACTCTCGGTCTTCTACCAAGTCTAAATAACCATGCAACATAAAAACTTTGAATCAGTAGAGGACATGGAGATAGCTACAACAGTGTTAAGGCACAATTATAATATGAGTACACATTTACAAAACAGCAAACTTATATGTATTTCATTATACAAATTAGAGAGCAGTTAGAGGCCTCTGACAAAGTTTCCCTGCTGTATTCAATTGACCTTGACAGAGTCTAAAGCCCAGCTGCATACCTCTGATAAGCACTGAGTCAGAGTAATTGTTGGTACCTTGAGGCACCCTGGAGTAGCCAAGGAAGTCAATGTTTCTGTATTGTAACACCTTGAACTATGCTCACTCTGTGAGGACCCTTCCCCTTGTTCCCTGACTGTTTCCATATTATGATGAACAATTCTTTTGTTTCCACAAATCTTTATATCACTAGGCTTCCTGTCAATATATGACTCAATGTATGTAGACGATTATATAACATTTTGTCACTTGTTTTATACTTTCCACTTCTAAATGGTATATAAACTAAACTCTTTATAAACTCAGTGCTGTTGCCTTTGGGAATGTTCCTGCATTGGTTTCTTGGCATAAAAATTAAGGCTGCTTTCTTATCTGGTTGGTGCAAAGAGTCTTTCTATCAGTTTGACTTGGAAATTTTCTAGCAACAACAATACATCCAAAGACATAAAAAATACTTTCAAAATGGTTTCAGAAATTGGCTTCAGAAAAATAGCTTCAGAAATGAAGGATAAGTGTACTTGACAAATTTCCTTTTATTGTAATATATTTTTAGAAAGTAATGATTCACTGTATTTTTCAAGGATATCTCATGAATTAAACACAATATCTTAATGACTGAAATGCTTAGAGAAAAAGAGAATAATTTCTGAGAGAGTGCTAAAACCCTTCAGTTTGACCACTCTTTAAAAGATTTTCTTGAAGATTACACTTCTCACCTCACTGTTCTTAGGGAGTTTCATCAAACTTTCACTTGTAAGTTATTTCTCTTTGAGATGTAAACCTTTAACTCAGTATATCTTTTGCAGGACTATCCTCCAACCTTTCCTTTAAAATGTTCCTAAATATAAAAAGAATAATGTCATCTCCTATTGAGTGTAGAATGGTAATTTAACTTAAATTAAAAATCCATTATTTAAAAACTACATGTAGTCCTATCATTTTAATTATCGACCTAGATCCCCGATCTCCCAAACAAGGATATGGCAGAGGTTAAATAAAAAGAGTCATATTGCATGATTTTTTTAGGCCTCCAGGAGGGTTGAAACCCTTTATTTAAGCTCGAGACTCTGAGAGTTAAGACAAATTTTTTTCTGGATGAGTCCACTTTTATTAGGACCAAGGACAAAAGGCAGAGAAACTGAGGAAAACAGAGGCAATGAGCAGGACCTTGGGAGTCACTTCAAGGGTGTCTCCAAGTAATAAATAAGTCAAGTCAGTAGCACTGTCTTATCATGAAGACATGGTAGAAATGAGACTGTAGGAGAAATCTTTGCAGCTGCAGTCTCTACCTTGTTAATTGGGGTTGCAGCCAGACTGTCCACAGCTGTGACCTTATCTTGCCTTTTGACGTATCTCTGGCCTCACAGGCCACTAAAGGCCTCAGCCAGGACCAGTGATTCATAGAGGTTCAGTTACTATGAATCA